AAATTGAATTTCTTCGAACCATAATATAAAGAGAACTCACCGTTACAGTTCAATGTACCTACTCACGGAGATACAACACAGTTACTTACCTGTAACAAGTAATAAGATTAGTTAGAAAACATTTTAAACTTAAATTAGATTTAAATTAGGGTAACAAATTGGATGAAAACACAGAATATATTTATTTACTAAGGATTTATTAAAACTTTAAAGTATTGACTTTAAATCTTTTATTTCTTTCAGAAAGATAATTTTACAATGACTAATTTACTCGCTTGATTACGATCTTGTACTGCTCTTGCTCAAATGTCAGACCACTTAGACGGCTTTTCGGACCGCACTTGACTTAGCTATGATAATTGAAAGCCGCATCTAGTCTCTAAGACTAGATCTTTGACGGATTTTTTCTACAGGATAAAGAACATGATTGTATAAATATTTTATGAATCTTTAAAGTTTATGAACACCAAATGGTAATTGGAGTATTTGTATGTATATGTACTTGTTCACATATAATTTAAGTGACATCATATATCTGCTATCTTTATTGAGCAATCACTTTTGCAAACAAAGCTGTAAATGGCGTCACATCTAGTACTTGGTCAATGACAAGCGAAGTGATGTACCTATCCAGTACGGCTACCAATTTTAACTGTTACATTTTCCATTCATCTTTAAAGTTATTTTGTACCGAGTAACATTTAATATTTAACACAACTTAGACAATGTATTAAGGGTTCAAGATCTTTCACTTACACATTTTAATGGTAAAAGGGAGAAAAGATCATTAATATGGAGAGATAAGGATTTTAGAAACATGCTAAATATAACCCTAGGAAGACTGAGAAATTAAAAAAGAAGTATTATAAAATGTTAAATAACCAAATAATATGTCAATCCAAATGAATAAATATTATTGAAATTATAAATTTAATCTTATTAGTATTAAAAGGTTAAATTTCCGTGGTACATTATTAAATGTCGACAGCGATTCTACAACACTATTCGTTAGTAATCAGTGATAACGATGAGTTTCACCTTGAATTAAAATTACAAGCTTAAAATTCGTCAATCACAATTAGTAAATACGATTAAATTAATTATTCATTTTTATAATTGGAAATTAACTCGACAAATGTAACAATATGCTTACCAAAGTGGTCAATTAATCGAATCCGATATATTTAACCCTAATCCTAATGAGTTTATTAATAATGAGATTTTAGGAATCGCGCATCCTTCAAGGTCTCCAACAGGAGGTCTTAGTAAATTATAATAGACGTGACTGCTTCTAACCAATTTTTTTTTATTCATAAGGTGACAAACGAGGCCACCTGAAATCGCTGAAATAGCGAAGTGGCCGTTGCCCATAGACATACGCAATCGCTTATGCGTTGCCAACCTTTAATCGACGGAGAAGAGGATACACAGATAGAAAACATTTCCATGCATCCTCTCATCCGGAAAGTCCACTTCCACTTCACATCCTTTCCTTATAAGAAAAGGGGTAGGAAGAGAAAGAGGACTAAATTAGGCCTCCGGGACGCACACTCATCAGATGAAACGCGGAAATGCTTCCACTTCACGTCTGTCTTATGTGTGGTCGTGGTATTTCACCGGGCGAGACGGGCCAATTCGTGCGAAGATGTTAAAGCGGGCTCTACTATTGTTAAATAATAATAATTGAATTTATTAAGTGTTTTGACTTAACTAAACTGTCTTATATGTTCAACGTATGTATAGGCAGTAACCATAGAAGCAGACGTATAGTGGCATATAGTGACTAAATAATTAGAGGATGAATAAACAATACATGTACCATGCCGCCAAAGAAGCGTAATCTTTGTACAGAACAATAACAACCTTATTTAGGTTTATGCCACACTATAGCAAAAGCGAAATGGAACCTAAGCGAAGAATAACTTAATATGACATTAGTATGGATTAGATTTTTTCCAGTAAACCATTAACCGAGGGCTTCTGAGTTCAAAATCCCCGTTTAAAACATATTATTATATCTGATGGTATAACCTAAGGTGGACATAAACGTTGTATTATATTTTCTTATTTTATTCATGCTTGCGTATAACTCGGTTTGGCTCTTCTTCGCTTTCGCGGCTGTGTGTTACAGGCCTTAACGCTTACAAAGTGATAATGTCATGATGCTTAGTGCCGTTTAAATATTCGAAGGTTATATTTTAAAGGTTAGTTTATAAAAGTCATTTTATGAAAATCTGCGTGTTTATCAATATTTCATAAGTTAATTAATTAAATTTTATTACGAAGAGATTAATTCTTATGAAATTGATAGTCAATCGATTAAGAGAAATTATAAGTGGAGACGACATTGAAGAACATAGGAATTATTCAAACTTTCGTGAGATATTATATTCCGCGCGACGCGGACGCATCCGCGAACTAATACCAGTACCAGTAATCTTGATGAAGGGTCCCCAAAGGGCTCGAAACTAGTCAGTACCGCCACCGTGCGAATATACATGAGTGTTTAGCCGTTTTTATATCAGTTTAACATAGGAATTCTATGAGTCATATATACCACTAATATTTTTAGTATACTATACATCAATAGTTTATTCAGAACTAGCTGTCGCACGCGACACCGTTCGGGCAGGATTTAAAAAAAAAGTAGCCTACGTATTCTTCCAGGCTATGTTCTACATCTATACCCAATTTCAGCTGGATCCGTTGAGCCGTTCGGGAGATATCTTCAAACAAACATCCATCCATCTATCCATCCAAACATTCACAGTTATAATATTAGTAAGATAAACAAAAAACTAAATAGACACTATCCCCCTGATTAGGGAAAAATTAAACAAATTACATATCAATTTTCAAAATCGATTCTGTTGTCTGTACTAGCTAATTTCTATTGTAATAGTGAGATCGTGTAATGACTATTTCAGATTATATATATAGAATTACAAATCTTAAAGTTTCTATTATGACGCTAATGAATAAATTAATAGTTAATTTAGCATACCGTGAATGCGGTAACGTTTGTGGTAACACCTGGTAATTCTTAATTGAGTTAACGTATGCATACGAAGAAATGTTTGTGGGGAACGTTACAATGAAATACAAAGTATACGCTTGGTCATAGTCAATTCGTTTATCTATGCTCTTATTCCACTCTATATGGTGTTGGTTCAACAAATTTTCTTCTTTCTAATTGGATAAGAAGGCAAATGACGAGCGGATCACCTAACATTAATTGATTCGACAGACGTAGACATCCGCAACTCCAGTGGAACCACAGATGCATTGTTGGATGATAAGGGAATTTTATATTATTTGAGGTCATCAAAATCAATCTTTGTTCCCTCTGTTCTTGTGATCGACGCTGTGCAACTATCTCTTCTTAGGCGTACCCCTAATGATATACAACTATTTACGTTTTTATTATCTTATTTACCAGCGCATGTCACGGATCCGACACACAATTTGAGCTACCTATATTTCGTAATATAAATGGTAATTAAATTATTCAAACTTTCGTGAGGCATTATACTAAACTGATATAAAAACGGCTAAACACTCGCGTATATTCGGGCCGCGTCCGCGAAATAATACCAGTACCACTCATCCTAATGAAGGGCCCCCGATGGGCTCGAAACTAGTCGGTGCCGCCACCGGACGAATATACGTGAGTGTTTAGCCGTTTTTATATCAGTTTATGAACGGTAATGTTTTTGTTATAATTTTAATTACAAATAATAGCTCTCTAGCGCACTCTTGTGAATGCCAAAAAAGTATCGCAAAGTTCTTTCAGTACTGCAACCGTCACGTCATGTTTTTCTTTATTTTCAATCCTTATGTAGCTTTTATATATTTCCAGACAGAACTAATCGCAATAGCGGCATCTCGCTTACCGGTTTAGAAAATCTTGTCCCACTATAATCTGGTATTTAAACCTATATGTTTAGTTTATCTGTGTACATCATTAACAACGCATGACACTAGCTGTAGCGTCCGCTTTCCAGCCAGAAACACCGTAAGTGACACACATGGACACATATTTAACCTCAAACCTTTTTTGTTCAGTCCGTCGCTTCGTTGACTTTAAAAAGAGTACAATGTTTCAACTGTTTATGAAAAACAAAACGTTTTAGAGTTGATTGTCTATGATTACAAATAGTTGACCTGTTATCCAGTGGAGTCCAGAAGGCCTAATACGAATTTTGCGAGAATGTATACGTAATGTCATCGACAAAAATTGTATTATATTTGGACATAAATCTAATTTTTTCGAAAACGTAAACGCATACAAGTAATGGGGATTGGAAAAAATGAGCTTCTAATACCAATATCGATTCAATTTACCACAAAGTCAATGATAATGAAAAAGATAAAAAAAACTGCATTACAGTTCCGTTCCACACCTTTGCTAACGTACAATCTAATTTCTAAGTAAAGTATTAATCGTATACAATGATTTCATTTATTGAACGTATCCTACAAGGAATGATAACATGAACTTGTTTATACAGTACAATATACTACAGAGTGAAAAAAAATAGACAGGACATTAAGAAAAATAAACAAAAATAAAACTATACAAAATAAGTGTTTATATATGTCACATATTAATTTAAAGTTTTTTTTTATAAAAGTGAATGAACAGGAAGATAATCTGCAAAAAATAAAAAAATAATATTGTTTAAAAATATAACCTTTATATAAAAATCGAACAAATTAAAAGTAATGAAACCCATTTATTTAATCATACTTGACAATTATAACTATATTATATTTATAACATCAAAATACGTCATTTATACATATATACATAATCTATGTCAATGTATGTATGTAATTCATTTACCTTGATAGTAAAATTCCCGCCCTTATTTACATCGATAAAGCCATGACGCATTCAACACCGTGAACTTCAAAAGTACAACCGGTGTTCAACTTATCTAAGTAGGTATGTATTTGAGGAGTTCAGAAATACTAGCCGCTACCGTATAAGCGACCGCTTCGCTGTTGTAACGCCAGTACGTAGTCTAATGTGAGTTGGAACGATCGTGTAACGCATCCGATATTGTTATTACAAGTGAAAACGGAGCTTAAATCTAATAAACTTAGGACCAAAATGTGCTTATCGTTATAGTGTTTTGTATATTTTTGAAGGTGACATCTTAAAGGATAAAGGTGAGGAGCTTTTTTCATTCTATGTTTATTTAAGAGATGTCCTTAAATACTCGTAGTTTACGTGATTGTTTTGTTGTGATTTAAAATTTTAGACTTATGACTAAATATAATAGTAAAATATTACGAAACAGTATACATTTTATAATTTATTTTCCTTTTAAATGATTAAAACTGGTTTTATATTGTAATTTGGTATCAAAAAATGTTAATATTAAAAAAAAAAACAAATTAGTTCGATTTTTTCGATACAAAAGTTTTAAGAATAATTTTAAGCAACTGCATCCACTTTAATACTAAGTAGCAATTAAGATTTCAATTTCATAATGCATTAGATTTTAGCTCGTATAATAATTAATTTAAGTTTAAATCTCTGCTATAAAATATAAATGTCATAAATTGATGATATCATGGTTAATCAAATACATATATTGCTTTTTATTACTTACGATATTACGAAACATAACAAGCCTATGTGTTCTTCCACGCTATATTCTATATGTATGCCAAATTATTGAAATCAATTCAGCTGTTCTGGAGATACCTTCAAAAATCCATACATCTAAACATTCGCATTTATAATATTAGTAAGATATCAACCCACTACATATCCTATCTATTTTACTATTTTACATAGTAACTTGATCTTAAATATATTTATGTAGTCATGCTAAACGCAGACAACTTAGTCGTTATGAAGGTTAGAGACTCATCTAAAATTCAAACCTCGATACCAGACAATGCCATATATAAATTACTAGTGGTTGCCCGCGACTCCGTCCGCGCACAATAAAAAAAACATAATTAGTAGCTTATGTATTCTTCCAGACTATGCTCTACATGTATGCCAAATTTCATCAAGATCCGTTCAACCGTTCTGGAGATACATTTAAACAAACATCCATCCATCTAAACATTCGCATTCATAACTATATATACATTCATTTATCATATTTTTAATAAAGTGCATTTCATATCCAAAAATATATATATATATATACAAAACATATTATATAATATTAAAAACAGAACACCACCGGCTGCGGAATCCCATGACTCAAACAACAGTCAGTCAGTGGTCAGGGCTGCAGAGACAGGAAGCTTCTCACGATGCGCGCGGTTTCTAGGATAACTGCCTTTTGTATCGGGTCCTTAATTCAACTGTGTAGCGAGAGCTTCTTAAGATGCATTTATAATATTAGTACAATTTTGTAGATTGATTTTCTTACATTGAAACAATTATGTAGATCACTATATAACAATACACACTAATAATGTATTAACGGCATTGTTGTTGTTATATTTGACTATTTCTACATATGATTCCCAATTTAATATTAATTTATAATGCCCATATCAAAGTTATGGAGGCCATAACCTTAGAATCTTCAGATTCAACAACATCTGGCCATCGCTATACTCAATTAAAATTGAGATACAATGATGTCAAAAGGAGCCCTAAGGCACTTCGAAATAAGGATGATTTTGCCTTGCTTAGGTAAGACACTCGCCCTCTCCCCTGATATATTTATAATTGCTAACATATGGTTCTTGCTATTTGAGTGTTAGAAATATATTGCAAACAATAACGCTTTTTCAAGAGAATAGTCTAGCAGAAGAACTGCAGATTCGTCTCCGGTTTTTAATGAAAGGGCTCAGTCAAATAAAAATACAACTGTATAACAGACTACTGTAATTCATCATAAAATATACAAAAACTTATACGATAAAACTTTGGTAGTGTGTTCTTACGACACCAGTAACAAAATTAAGTTTATAACTTTACACTTTTGTTCAAATATTGTATTTTGTTTGACGTAAAAAAATCTTTTCTAAACAGAACTGCAACCCAACACAATTGATCTATCCTTGATTTTAGAGAGGTACCAAAAATAATATTCGATATGACGCTAATCTACCATTGTTATTTTGCGGGCTTGAAAAACAATGTCTTTATCTAGGCTTCTCAGAGCGCCAAACGATTTCCAACCCACATAAATGTATACGAAGCAATTAAGCGTTTCGTGACTAAGAAGGCCAAACGAATAAGGTTTTACTGGTTTAAAACATTAGTAGCCAATTATGAATAGAGCGTTGACCTTTACAAATCTTCAATTGTTTTTTATTGTTACGTTTACAACATTTTTTTAGATTATTTTTTGTTTTTAGTGTTCTTAAACGAGGTCAAATCATAAACCCAACACATTTCTAAATTAAAAATAACAATTAGGCAACGTATTTTTTTCTCTTTCAATTTTAAGATAAAAAGCTTCAATTTCTTACCGGCAAAAAAAATACGTGCTTAGCAAATGGATAGTGAACAGGAAATAATAAACGTGACCGGATAACAGATACAGCTTAGTTAATTACACCTGTCCTTTTTATACTTTACTTCGTGAGCTTATTGCTATGATATTTATCGAGAAAACATTGCTCTTGACTTTGCATGTAACAAGGATGTCTTTTTGCCGCTATTGAACTAGTTTTTTCCTGTACAAGGAAAACCTAAAATCAAAACGGATTTTATAAATATCCTGTTTTATCAAATGGCAAAATATTTGTAGGCTTTTTTATTAGAAATGTAGAAATTCTAAGGGATTTGTTTTTTGATTTCTTGACACATTGTTGTCTTTACACTCTGTTGGATTAATTAAAATTAAAAGACATTCTGTCGGATTAATGGGTAAACTTAATTTTTACTAATATTATAGATATGAATGTTTGGATGTTGTTTGGATGGATGTATGTGGGTTAGAATTAATACCCAGAACGAGTCCATGGATGTCGCTCAAATTTGGCACAGATGTAGAACATAGTCTGGAAGAACACATAACACGTAACACTAATTAACTTTTTTTAATACATCGCGGACGGATATAAAATATTTTTATCTGTACCTAATCAATGATATGGACATTGATTTTATTTATGTATGTTTTAATATAAAAATATATTAGTTTTTGTGTATAAAAGAATTAATTTAACCAACATTATGTACTTATTTGAAATGCGCTACATTCATAATTGTTGCCTGTAATAAGTTATAGTCGCAATGCAATTCTAACATATTAAATAAGTTTGCAGTTATTTTTTAAATACTCTATTAACTTTGTTATTTTATGATAAGGGTGTTATTATATTGTTCTCTTGTTTTTAATTTATCACACACTTTTAAATGAAAAAATTATAAAAGGCAAAACTAAATAATATGTAGATGAAAATGAAAAGGTAAATACGTAACTACGACATCTGAATCGAAAAGTTTTGTATTCTAATGGCCGCCTTAAAAGCATTCATTTTATGTTACCTATTGCCTTCTCATCTTTTACAAGTTTGAACGATTTTGCATGGCATCAGGTCAATAGCGGTCAAGATTACTTAGTACCAAAATAGGCCCGTCACCGCAGGGTTTTGCCGCCGGTCACATGGTGGTCGAATAGAAATCGCCACGATTTTTCCATGCTATTTACCTCGTTTGTAAATGTATTCTGTAACTTAATATTAAAACACAGTTGTCAATTGACGTAATAAGCAATATATCTTGTGTTAGTTACTTTAAGAAATTGGATCATCTATTAAAGTCAATCATTTTGATTGAGGCAAATGAAATATACCAAGGTTTTTACCAATGAAATCATCATACCAATTTAGTCGAGTCTATGTCAATATTCTATAAAAATGTTAAGTAAACATGCCTAATGTAATTTAATGAATTTATGTGAACATTAAATACGAATCCATTTGATGATTTGGTTGTTGGTACTGACTTATTTTCGGATAGTGTCGCTTATTTTTAAAGGTAAAAAAATGCGATGAGATTGAATACGTTCTTGTTTAACATATTAAAGTAAAAATCGTATTTTTCACTGGTAAATCACTTTGAATATTTACCATATTTTTAACATAACAATGAGTACAAAAATTGTAAAGTATTATAACGTCCGGTGAAAGTTTTTTTAGACGTTAAAATCAGCACTATATACGATAATTTCTGTCTATGTGAAAGTTAGAATGTCATAAAAAATCATATTTTTAATATTGCAATTACTATCTATACGAAAAATATTTTAAAAAATATGTCTGCCAATTTGTTATGAACAAATATTGGTATTTGCGGTAACCTAAGTAACCTTGTTAATGTATTCTAGTTGTAATCCTCACTATATATCTATGTTCCATCGTAGGTTGATTCCAGTATTCCAGCACAAGAAAACAGAAACTTACATCGATTTAAATCGCTTATCCTTAAAAACAAAGTATGAGGCAAGATTGCTCGGATAATTGTATGACAAAATAATTTCTGTAGACTGAAATAATAATTATAACATGCATAATGTTAAGGTAATATTTAAAAAAAACTAAATTAATAGCCTATATGTTCTTCCAGACTATGTTCTGCTTCATCTATATAAATTATATCGAGATCCACGCAGCCGTTCTGGAGATACCTTTTAAAATTATCCATCTAAACATTCGCATACGTAGTACCTACGAAGTATTAATTGTAATAGTAAGGAACTATTACAAAGTAAGATAATAAATAGTAAGATTGGGGGCTGATATTATAACATTTTAAGTCAATGAAGCCTTAGGATTTAGAACATCGGCAATAAAACATGTATGTAAACCGCCTCGAGAACAAATCACGTCACGCAAAAACCGGTCGCTACAGCCGGTATTCAACTTATGTTTGTATTAAGATTCCTTCCGAGCTTGCGATGCTTTTACGTTATATAGTTTTGTCGTTATTTATTGCACGACTGACAGTAGGGTAATGAATTTCGCAGGTATGTTAGTATTTTTGGGTATATTTATGTTACCTTACAATTAAAGTGACAGTACATAAATTTAGCACTATATTTAATGGATATTATTAGGCAGAGTCGTCTTTCTGAGGAGTATTGATTACGAAGTTATTGTGTGTGAACATCCTTCCTTCCAAGACCCTTACACAAAAACTTAACTCGTATCCATCGTTCTCTGCATTCTTCACAATTTATAATTTTTACTTATATTATAAATGCGAATATTTGTATGGATGGATGTTGCTTAAAAGGTTACTGCAGATCCACTCATCTGATCTTGGTCAAATTTGTCATAGTTGTAGAATATGTAGTCTGGAAGGACATATCGGACGGAGGCGACAGCTGGTCTCACATATTCATAACAACATGCTCTCTAGAATTGCTATAATTTAAATTATTACATTTAGTACGATACTTAAATTACTTTGTTTTTAATAATTATAGTATGAAATAAGATGATAATTTAATTCGATGGTTGTTAATCCTTGTACTTCCAAAGGTACTAAATATAACCTTTGCCTATAAATTATATGTAAAAACGTTGTTGGCCCTGAAGATATACACGGAATGACCTGTCACTAATAGTATCAAGATCTAAACTGCAATAAAATTCTTAAGGTCTAGTTATAGCTTTATAATTTATTGACTTGTAATTTAAACATTATTTACAAATCTACTAGCTTTCGCACGCGACTCTTACGGCACAGAATTTAAAAAAAAATAATTAGTAGCCTATGTCTTCTTCCAGGCTATGTCCTACAACTTTTAGATTCATGCAGCCGTCCTGGAGATATCTTGTAGCATCCATTCATCCATCTATCCATCAAACCGTCCTAATATTCGCATTTTAAAATATTAGTAAGATGTAATATTTATGATGAACGAGGATCGAACATTACACCGCGTCTCAACTTGCCTGACACAAATTGTTACATAAATAAAATTCCTCAATCCATTTAAATAGTATGTAAACTATTTCCATCCTACTTACACACTTACATCATTCGATTGTAGACACACAGCGAAATTGAAGTCGTGAGAAAGTTCTTTAAACCGAACTGAAATAGACTATCGTAATTATAGCGCCAAGGAAACGAACAAACAGTGCTGTACACTAAATTATAATCTGTTGATAAAATCTCAGCGCTTACAACATCTTTAGGGTTCCGTACATCATAGGAAAAAAACGGAACCCTTATAGGATCACTTTGTTGTCCGTCCGTTCGTCTGTAAAGACCCCTTTTTTTAAAAGAAATGCCCATTAAATACTTAAATTATTTTTCTTACCAGCGTTTATGGCAATTTTTCTTGACGAAAAATTCATAATATTCAAAACTTCGACTTCTATAGGCATAAATATTTCAGTAATTTAATTTTGCAATAAAATCTTTAGCAGTCCCATAGATCTTCGCGACCTTGTATTTTGTAGGCAGTTGCGACGCTCGTCGACTTATAAACGATACTTGTGTTAAAACCTGATTCACGACAAATATTTTTTAACTACTCATTTTTTAACAATGAATTTTAAATATGAATGGAATGAATTCAAATATCTTGAGGACTGATATAGATATATATGTAAGAGTACATACTAGTAGAAAATGCACACTGTATATATGTTAGTATATTAAACTGCTTAATCTTACTAATATTACAAATGCGAGTGCTTATTAAAGTGTGTGTGTGTGTGTGTGTGTTAATATATGGATTGATGTGTGTTAGGATCTTCAGAACCACTAAATGGATCTTTCTAAAATTTGGCATAGATCTAGAAATAGTATAAGAATAGGTAAATATGTACCTACTAGTTAGATTCTCTTTTATTTTACTACGTCATAAGACTTGCCGTCGCCTAAATGACATATCAATTTTAAAATGAATATTCCTATATTTAATTCACATACAAAAGTCGTTTGACTGCAGAATCGTAACTACTATAATAGTTCTACAAAATGTTTATGAAAATCGGTGTTTCGAAATTCGAATTTCGAAGAAAACGAAAATTTTTCTGGCCAAAATATCGGAACGTGATTTTCCTTAATATCGGCTTTTGAAGGAAAATCATCACAAAAATTACCCATTCGTTTATTATTGCGCCATATATACTTGTATTAGCTAAGTTCATGACTTGGCAATAAGAATGATAGATATATTAAAATAATTAACAACTTATAGAACCTTGGTTTTAACATTTATTATTAATGTCTAAGTCACCAGAGATGCCGCTAATGTGTGACTGCAGTTCAAAGAACTTTTCTTTATTTCTTTTTCATCATCATACTACAAAAGTTCCTTAATGATATTAAAGAAACATTTTGTATAGATTGCATGTAATTTTAAAGCTATTTATACAATATAACATATATTTTAAACTATGTTTGAGCAACTTTTGTGAAATTCTACAGAGGTTCAATCATCGGTGATTTATGCAGTCAACAAGCATAGGCCGAATAGAATGTCTTATACATAATGATTTCATAATTAGACGACAAATGCGACGTATAATAGGTTTTGAAATGTATAACGTGATTATGTATTCGATTTCGATATGTCAAGGTCATCATCGTGAACGTTAATTCTTTAGTATTCTAAAAATTGTTAAATTACATAATGTATTAAAATTTTACATACATATATCAAAATCTTATAATACAACAAATTTTATTGCAACAAACTAAGTGGAAACCGTACACTAACCATTGGTTTCTGAGACCAACATCTCCGTATTAAACATATCGTCATTCCTGTCATTATCTTTGACAAAATATATAACATTACTAGCTATCGCCCGTGACTCCGTCCGCGCGGGATTAAAAATAGATGTTGGCCGATACTTAGACCTACTCAATATGCTCACAAAATTTCATGAGAATCGGTCAAGCCGTTTCGGAGGAGTATGGGAACGTAAATTGTGACACGAGAATTTTATATATTACATGTTTTTTACTTTGGTCTCCGAAGAACACGGTAAGTGCAACGACCTTGCAGGCATCAATAGAATGTGCACGACCTATCAAAAAACTATTATACTCACGAACTTCATATATATCGCAAGAATCCGTATTTATAGTTAAGCTCCGCATTTTGGAAATGAACAAAGACCAAATATTTATAACTAACATTGTAAAACATTAGATGAGAATAATACAATTCTCACATATTTGCGGTCAGATTTGCTAAAACGTTAACTGGTCATGGTCACTATTTGGTATACATCGAGGAAGTCAAAAGGTCATATGCAACACGCAATGACAATACTAAGAAGTTAATAACAATTGCAAACAAATAAATTTGACCTATAACAATAAATACATGTTGAAGTATTGCGTTAAGAAGATATGTACTTCTTAGTGATCTGTGACGAAGCATATGTCTTTAGCAAATGTCTATAAACAAATTCTGGTGATAATAAATGTACATAGGCTTACCGTATTCAAAAGGATTCTATAGTTAGAAATAAAAAAAGTTGAAGATAAGAACGAACAAAGAACACTACGTATACAAACCTCTGATGTTAGTTTAAGATGTTAAATTTGACCATGAGGTTGATATTATTTTTATGATATAGTTTATAACAAAAACACTACCAAGCGATCCATTGAACAAGATTTAGAATATTTCTTTAGATTAAAGTTATTCAATTTATAATATTAAAAGGAATAGATCCTTTATTATTTCCATCCCCGCCATACACATATACAGAGAGTACATTCTTATTACTTCATATTTGTTAACTCAAGAAATGCAGCAATGAATAACAGAATTTACAATCTACACACAGACGACCAACTAGACGACCTACACGCAGGGCATCCATTCTTTTTCCATCGAACACAATACGTCAATTCGCGTGACATTATCAGAATCGAGGCCTACCCATCGATTGCGTCGGAGTTGATGATCTCACTCCTCAAACACGATTGTCTAATTCACCTCGTGGAATTTGACAGCCATGTTAATTCAACGCACGATTTATTAATAATAATGATTTCCTTAAAAGTTACAACATACAATAGAATTTTTCATTTTCGGTTACTGACTTTTTTGGTCAAAGCCTCCGAGTGTACACATAGAACTTCTAAAATACAAACTTAACATTTTTGACGTGAACTTCAGGGGCACAAATTTATTGGGGATTATATACATAACCTTAATTTGGACAAAACAATAATTCTTGGATCTTTTCAATTTCAGATGGTGAAGCTGACTGTCATCTTGATCGGTGTATTGGCAATTCATTTTATCAATGGCGCACCAAACGAAAAGGTCAAGGATTTGCACAGATCAGGACATCATGAACCAAAACTAAACGACGAGAGTTACTCAGAAGTCGAGAACGACGAGGGCGATAGCAAGAGGGAAACACAGAGACAAAAAAGATGGTACAATAACTTCCCTTATACCCCATCCTACGTTAGACCTTATGACCAAGGCTCCGAGTTGGAAGACAATTTGTCATATATAAGGTTGCGTTTACAAGAAATACTGGACATGGCAAAATCACCGCCCCCTCCACCACCTCCGCCAGCCTTCTACCCGGTTTACGTTCCAATATACATCCCGCAACCGCAATGCGGATGCAATCCCACCACTACCGAGGAACCTACGACAAAAGCGCCTACAATAAAACCTACCACGACCACACCCAACGAAACCGTCCCAAATCTGCACGAAAGACTGCCAGAAATGGAAGACGAACGTCAAAATTGGGGAATTTTAGTTAACAATACTTTATCCGATTATGATGATGATGATGGAAGCAGACCTATTTCATTAACGCCTATTATACCTGGCGACGACGATGGAATACCAGCTCCTCCCGTAGAACATGGAAGCAAACAAGCCGATATAAACGATGTTGAAACTTCACTACTACTACAACAAACTACAACTGCCAGTCCTGTTATATTCGAAGAACCTTCAACGCCTGCGGGTCGGCCTGATGCTTGTGACAGTGCAATAATGAGCTGCTGCTTCGGACTGGACAGAACGTACAAATGCGTGCAATCACGAGGTTGCCGGGACCGTTCTATAGGTCCAAACCCTTGCAATCGACAAACCGTACTTAGTGTCTTGTCACGGGTTCAAAGTTACTACGGTTGAACATTTAGCTTATAACAATTGATAGTCATTAGTTTATTTTATGTATGTATAAATAAGTCAATGAAAATTAAACGGTTTCTACGTTATTATTGTCACGTTAATCATGCAAAGATTAAATAAAATTTGAATTTATGTCAAAGCTATTTCAAGCTACCGATGAAAAAATCATTTGAATCCAATTTGAAATAAAAAGTACAATTTTAAATTAGCCTAAAATTCAAATATATTGTAAAGCTTAAAATTTTATTTAAGACATACTGGCTTATGCACTATTTACAATCAGTGTCATGAAGATGCTGCAATTGGGGACAAAATGGAAACTTTATGTAGATGGCGCCAGCGGCAACAATTCTTTCTGTTTGTCTTTCTTTATCTGTCAAAGTTTTTGCACGCAAATGCTTTGAATGAAAGACAATAGGCAATGACTTTTATTATCACCGTGTTAACAGCTTTTAAGCCGATGCCGATCATGCGACATCTATAGTTCGAAAAAAGCAGTTTTTCCCTCCATTGAAGTTAAATCAAACAGTTTCATATTTGTCCCCAATTTACATCATGATTATTACAAGAGGTGCCAAATGTAACATTAATAACAATAAAATCTAGTTTTTATATTCTGTAAATATTGTGCAATTGCGTTTTAAAACATATATTTTGTAAAAGGAAAAACGTTTTGAAAAAAAAACAATTATATATTTCGATGTTTGCTACTAGCATGGCTTTAGCTTCGCATATTATATGTATTCATTATTTATTGCTCAACGATAAATTAAAAATGAAATATTAAAAATAATATAAAAAGTGTGGTGTACTTTAAACCCCTTAAACGATGTTATCATATTAAGATATCAATTGTCCTGTTTGGTACAAAAAAAGTGCACCCAATTTAAGATACATATTTTTTACACGATGACGTAGTTTAAAATATATAAATCAATGCTTTATCCTTATTTAGTTTTTATTGTTATCCGGCCTTTTTTGATTTCGCAATAGCCAATTAATAAATAAAAGTAAGTCAATATGTCATTACAAATGAAGTTTTATTTTAACCATATTAATTATCAGAAACAGATATAAGTTTTTTTTTATAACAATACTACTCTAGGATATATGAGACCTCTTGAACAAGACAAAACGCAGATTACATCTATATCGGATTCCTACCAAAACACTAAACTATAGGCAAACTACAAGATAGACTAAAACTTGTGAAGTTTTATCCCATTTAAGGCAGTAATTACAAAGCTCTTTCATGAAGAAGTGATTCACACATTTTAATCAGAACGCCTGTCATTCTATTGCCGCAATTACGCAGAACTAGGATCTTGCGTATAGCAAAAAGAAGGGATACAACGTTTCTTACCATAATAATATTCCTTTCTTGTTATTTCTATCTAAAAAAATAAAATTAAAAGCAAATTTATAAAAGATTCAACCGTGAAGTTTAACAGTCGTAAGACTAGTGTAATTTCTTCTTTTTCTTTTACAGGATAAATATCTACATTAAACAACTTGAAATGCCAAATAAAACCCGTCCTCTTGAGAATGTATTGTGCACGTGACGTTGACGTTCATTTGGTTTGTGTTAAAGGCCAGTACTATACGTGAACGTGATTTAATCATATATTTGAACATTTATTTTTTTATTATAATAATCAATGCAAATCATACTTCAATTTCGTTGAACTTATGAATTAATAAACAATTCCTGACAGCTGCATCATATTTATTAAAAACTTGGCTTTATAAACATTTAAACTATTGCGATTTTTTTTATTCTAGCTGTTGCCCGCGACTTCGTCCTCATTGTATTATAATTGTTCATCGTTCATCCATTCGTGTTATTTTCTTAAAAGGGGTTCAAACATTTTGATTTACCTATTATATTATATAAGTATTGTTATCATATTTAATTTCAGATGTTAAACAATTTTGTCTTAATTGTAGCAGTTTTATCCCTATTAAACCTTTACTAGAAATCAGTTGTTTCACATCTACTGGCTGCAACAATCTTGACTTTAAACAAAACATTTGCAGTCCCACGAATATTTTGAACATTATTGAAAGATTTCGTATTTATCACCAAACTAATAAAACATGATCCCTTTTTATGATACCTAAATTATTGCAGTTTTATTTTTAATTATATTAAACCGTAGTTATATTATTTGATTTTTTGTAGATCTTCTAGGTGTCATGAAAGAAAAAAAACATCTGCTGATATCTTACTAACATTATAAATGCTAATGTTTAGATAGATGGATGTTTGTTTGAAGGTATCTCCACAACTGCTGAACGGATCTCGATGAAATTTGACATGCATATAGAACATAGTCTGGAAGAAATCACAGGCTACTAACCATGTTTTTATTAATTCTGCGCGGACGGAGTCGCGGGTTACAACTAGTATGTCATAAATAAATCAGTTACATTTTGCAATGTAGATATCGCGGTGCTCGGGTCGAATTATTTATTACAGTGATATTTATTATTTTAGATATGCTACAAGTAGATAATATGTATTGTTCTATCTGTTCTGTCTTGTTATGGAGAGAAATAAATTTACTATAATAAATATTTTCATGTAAACTTTATTGATAAAATCACTGAGAAATTTTTTTTTAATCAGCCTGTGTAGCCATGAGAAGGAGAACTGTATGTAGCACTATTGACGTCCAAAGCGAACTTAATGATGAACGATTGCACATAAAGTAATATAATTTAAAACTTTTTATATTTAAAAGCAACAATACTAGAAAACCGGATTTTTACTTGCAATCTTTAGCTCTGTTAAGTGGTTAATGTCAGTATTCTCGCTAACCTTCAAAGGATCGGATGTTTTCGGAAAACCTATGAACACCTGCGATGAATATATTCTGATATCTTTGCAAAAAGTTCAACTTAATTGCTAATAAAAGGGGATCAAACATAGTATCAAGGTGAGACAATATTTTAATTCCATTTTCAAATTACAGTATTTTTTAATTTAAGAAATGATTCTTAAAATTTATATGAACATTTTCGTCAATGATATAAGTAGAATTAATAAGTTAATAAAAATAAAATAAAATAGCCTTTTATTCAGTTCTGCTTACAAGTTACAATAAAATAACATATATAAATTAAGTTTGTAAGTATGGAGTATAATATTCAAAGTTGAAATATAAATGTTAATAAATAAGTAAAAAAAACGTTAATAAGTTACAAAAATTAATTAAAATGGTTACTTGCGTTTATGTTTTCTTCATTCATACATTGATGTAGGCATCATTTTTAATTTTGTTATTTTTTCGGGATACTTTTCCTCCTTTTAATGTTGACATCAACAATTCTTTTGAAAATTATGATCTATAGAACATAGTCATGATATCAGAATCCTTTGCTTTGTTTCACATGCCTACGTCATTCTCTAAAAAACATAATAACGTAGGTCTGAACAACTTCATTAAGGAAAATAAGACAAGTTTCCTCATTTTTAAACTCATATTGATTTAATCTTGGTTTATAAAAATTGTATTTAAGTACTCTTTATGTTTTCTAATATATTGCTCATTATAAACGAAATAAAATTAGCATTTTTTCGTTGACAATTGCCTTTTACTTCTTAGCTCTTGATATTGCAAAAATTGGAGAGGAAAATAAAGTCCGTGTCCATATTTGTCCTGCAGTTATCCTCATAAAATACCAATGACGCACAGGACAATATACTTACGACAAAGGAGAAGTATTGCTTTCAATAAACAGTTAAAACCAAGCTACTAGTTTCTTTGCTCCTGTGTAACATTCTCTTAGAAATTATATAAAATATTTCAATAAAATACTTATTTAAGATTACCTCTTAGATTAGAACTTGCTTTCTTTCAATACTTGGAAAGTTTTGAAGTTAATTGTTTATTACGGTGAGTACATATCTTATATATAAAATTCTCGTGTCACAATTTTCGTTCCCATACTTCTCCGAAACGACATGACCGATTCTCATGAATCTCATTTTGTGAGCATATTGAGTAGGTCTGAGAATCGGCCAACATCTATTTTTAATCCCGCGCGGACGGAGCCGCGGGCGACAGCTAGTATTATATAATAATTTATTATATCTTTTATTTTGGTTCCGCTCCGAATATTCTGTACTTTGAGTCCACACCAATAAAATCTAATATTCGTTTCATTAACTATATTTGAGTTTAATAACAAATTGTGAAACCCAAAAAGTATAAATGATTTATTTCTAGAATACTGTAACAGATATGAAGTAACAAATACGTGGTAAAGATTTTGTCAGTCACCAATTTAACATTGTTAAATGTCTTTGCTCTCACAACAACAAAACTAAGATAAATAACTATCGTAAATTTAAACTTTTTTATCATCTATAAATGTTAAAAATGTAACTTCTAACTCATAACTATAGATATTGACTACAGTTCTAACGTGAAACATTTTTGTATTTTTTCAGATGGCTATCAATTGTGTTGCGAAATTACTTGCAATTTGTTTTTACGTAACAAGTGTTATTGCATGGAACTCACCTCATGAATATGATCAAATCAAAAGCCTATCAAACCAAATCGAAAACTTGAAAAGTTTAATAAACCAGCCAAATACACCATCATATAAATATGATTATGCACCACCAGTACCTTGGGATAACAACTACAAGAATTCAGATTACCAAAGATATTTAAAACAACAGTATATACTACCAATACTTAATTCTTTAACCGATATCTCACAACAGATTATTAGAAATATCAACGACAAAACACAGCAGCAAAATATTAACGTACCATTTACAATTCCAACAAGACCTAATTTCGGAGACGTCAGAGACCAATCTTCACTATTTAACCCGTCATTTGGTACTGCTAGTGGTTGGGGTGCAGCTTCATATGGAGAGTCTCAAGGTCAAAACGGTGGAGGGAGCAGTTACAGCCTTTCAAATCCAATATCATTTAATTCACCATATTCTGGTGGATTCGGTTCCTTAAAGCCACCAGTTATACCATCAAGATTCCCAAGTATATCAAATCGACATCCCGGAGAGTATGACGATAATCGAAATTGGGGGCTTGTCGCTGATGATGATGCAATAACTACACCTAAGCCACCACAGGAATGTAAATGCGAAGAACAAGTAAGTAAAGCTAAAAATATATAAGAACATTTAATAAAATTAAGCGTAAAAAGTAAGGACGTATTTTGTCAAAGATATGGTTAAGATATTGCTATTCTTTTCGTGAATTTAGATAAGACGGCTTATAGAGATTCATACATCTCTTACATCAACTATGCATACTGTGTCAACCCTTCGTGAAAGCAGCAGACTGATGAAAATAAATATTTGTATGTTTGTCTCCTAAGCGTTTTTAAACCACACGACCGATTATGAGGAAATGTATAAGTAAAATATAATAAAAATGTTCAATCGGATTAAATATTATTTTTGACTAGCTGCCGCTCGCGACTCCGTCCGCGAGAAAAAAAAACATAATTAGTGGCCGGCAATTATTCGAATTTTTCTCACCTTTTAAACCATCCCTAGACCTTCACAAACATTTAAAGATCAAGATAAGATAAAGCCGTTCAGCCGTTGTCGAGACTAACGAACAGCAATTGATTTTTATATATATGTATAGATAAAAGATGTCTTTTGCTTTTATTATGACTTTACTATGTTATTTTCTGTCAATTAACAAACGTAAATAAATGTAATTAAAATTATGTATTTTACTATTCTAGAACAAAAACATAACATCGTTAGCAGAAAAATTAAAGCTGAAGACTACAGAAGCAAATCCAGTGACTTGCAAAGCGGTAATTCTGCTTTGCTGCGTCCCAGGGAACAATGAGGAGCACCGAAAGGAGTGCTTCTCAGAGCACGGATGTCCACGAAGTTATTCCACAGGAATCGCATGCCTTCCCGTTCTTATCCAAGCCGTGTACACAGATATATACGGAAAACTTTGAAGAATAAGTTTTTTTATCAGCACCGGCAACATTAAATACTTTAACTCGAATACTTTGCTTATATAAATTCATACAGATTAAATATTTTTAAATTAAAACTATCGACGGTAAACGCTCATTCTCTTATTCATCCCACTTTCTTTTCCTTGTAGACTTACTTTTTTAATGTAATCGGATCTCCTAACTTTAAGTGACTGCCAATCAATAAGCTTCTCATTAGCTTATTGATTAGCAGTAAAGAGGAGTGTTGCCATCTCACATAGACAGAAAAAGAATAAAAGGCTATTATGTTTTCTAATATATCCTCTGTGTGTAGTAAAATAGGACGGGAATTAGGTATTTAAGTAAACAGTCAGCAATTCATATGTTTACTCTAATCGTGGTGAATATTATACTGATTCTTTATTTAGGTCAAATATTACCAAAGCGCCTGTCATTTTCGTGCAGCAATTTCGAAATACAAATTATCAGAACGATAAAATTGAAAGTATAGTGAAAGTCCGTTTGGAAGATAAGACTTTTAATTAATTGAATAATATTACAGTGTAGTACGTAATCAATACATCGTTGTTAGGACAGCGGCGGCGTCCCGGCAGTCGTGCGCGTACGCGTGTTTACAAAGTCAAGGCTCGCGGCTAACTAAGGGAACGGGGGAACTACGGCGGGCGCGCAGCCGGGCGGAATGCCGGGACGGAGGCGGGGCGCGAACAGTTCGTGAGGTGGCGTGATGTCGACGCGGTGCTATAACCTCCCCCCCCAAGTCACTAGCACGACCCGGCGGTGACTTGGCCGGACGACCTCGTCGACGCGCATGTTCGATCGCGGTCGATTCTCCTACGTAAGGAGTCAGAGCACTGGCGTGATACTTGCCCCTAATGGCACCAGTACTATCGACAACTACAAATGTAGTTGGACTAACAACCTGTGAGACCT